TTGCACAGAGCCACAAGGTCTCCCCTCAGCCTCCTTTTCTCCAGGCTCAACAACCCCAGTTCCCTCAGCCGGGAACTCAGCACACTTGTGCTCCAGACCCTTCCCCAGCTCTGTTGCCCTTCTCTGGACACGCTCCACACAGGGGAGCTTTGCTTATTCCTATAAATTGCCCCTCCCCATTCTAACTGTCCATATCTCACAGCAAGGGCCAGCCTGCTGCTTGTTTTCCCAACAGTTCCTACCCCCTCGTGAGGCTCATATTTTACTTCCCATCTGCGAGGGAGGAAAGCAGGCAAGGAGAGCTGCCCCGATGGCTGCAGTGGGGTGGAATGGCAGGCAGGAGTGGGGTTCAGCCCCATGGGGCTCTGAAACTTGCTGACAGTGCCTCATCCTGCCCTGCTGGGCTGTAGCTGGCAGAGTTGCTCAGTTCCCTGCTTGTAGCTTTTTTTTTTTTTTCTGCTTGTTAAGAGAGAGGATTTTTCACCTTTCCCCACTATTGATTTTAAAGGACTCCTCCTCCCCTGCAAAGAGTGTGTCTTGTTTAGAAGACCATTTAATTCACTCTTTAATCAAAGAGGGAAGACAGCAAAGTATTGGTGCCTGACATCTGTGGCTGTACAGGAAACCAAGCCACGCTCGGGGGTCATCCAGTGGCAAACCCACCACAATGCTGCTTGGTAAGCCCACTGCCCTAGGGAGATGCTAACCAGGATGCAGATGGGCTTGGAGGAGCATTACCCTGGTCACTGACCTGTTGGGTGGGTCCCATCTCCTTCTTGTGCCTCAGTTTCCCTACTGACCTTCTACTTTTTTTTTTGCTCTGTTTAAATCATAAGTGTCCACCCTGCCTGGCTGTCTGGAGGTTTGTGGGTACACAGAGGAGGGGGCTCAGTCTTTGCAGGCTTTACTGGTGCTGTCCTAATAATGATAATGGGTGCACAGGGGTTAGAAACCAGAACAGGTCTGCCCTGGTAGCTGGGACAGAGCTGGGTTTCTTTTTAGTAGCTAGAATAGTGCTGTGTTTTGGTTTCAGAATGGGATTTGTTATGAGGAAAATGTTGGTAACATACCAGTGTTTTCAATTTTTGTTGCTGGAAGCAAAGGACTTAGTGTTTTGTTCATCTACAAGTGCAAGATCTAGGGAGGGTGAGGAATATTGAAGGTCTTTTCCGGCCTAGGCGATTCTGTGATTCTGATGGATGCAATCTGAAATTAGCTTTCCCCTTCCTCGCCCCTGGGCTGGCAATTCTGACAGGGAGGTGGCCCTTGCAATGGCCACAGTGGCAATAAAGGCAGCTGGAGCTGAGCAGGGCACAGGGGTTTGACAGAGCCAAAGGATCCCTCCCTCATCCAAAGTGGATCCCCTTACCCAAAGGGGAAGCATCAGAAAGGTGAATTAAAAATACACCCGCCAACAAAGAGGGTGTTTCTGCAGATTCTGCCGAGTCTCTCAAAGACAAATTGTTTCTTACAGCAAGGATGGAAACAGTCATTCATAAAAGAGTAACTGATGTCTGGCTGGTGACAGCCCTCCACTGTGGCTGCCTCCTGCAAAGGGAGCAGGCAGCAGCTCTCGGCCAGCTCCAAGGGTCTGGGAGATGATGAACCAGCCTAGACCCTTCCACATTTCATATGCAAACTACACGTTTCCTTCTTCTTTTTTTTTCCTCCAAATGTCTTCTAATGTAATTAGAAAGTTGCTCTTCCAAAAGCCTTTTGGCTGGGAAGGGAACAAGCAGCTTATAATTCATTTATAAGATGTTCTCGGAGCCATGTAATTGCCCTGCACTGGCTGGATGGAGGGGGAGCTTCCCCAGGGGCCGTGTCTCAGTATTCCCACAGAAGCTAGACAGAAACCAAGGGAGAGCTGATGCTGGAGGTGAAGGACTGAGATGTGGGGTGGAGCCAAGGAAGGGAAGATGAGAAGGAGGATTTTAATCTGCTGGGTTTTCTGGCCCCAGAGAGATGTTGTAAGTGCTTGGAGCTGGTGGGGGAAGGAAGGGAGAGCACCCGAGGAGGAGCTGGGTGGTGCCACTGGCACGCTGCTGTTCCCACTCTCTGGGTTCACGGTGAGTCCTCTCGATTAAACCCTTACTGGAACGATGTGCAGAAGAGCTTTCACATTGCTGTCAGCGCTGTTTTTTTAGATCTACCATAATTTTCTCTTTTTTTTTTTTCTTCTCTTTGAGCCCGATGTTGGTGAAAACATTGACTTTGTTATGCTGTTTGTTTGAGGGGAAAGTTATTGTAGGAGATGTAAAATGTAGGGTCTGGTCCTAGTGAGGAGCAACCTGAACTGTCCACATAACCTCACCTCCTCCCCCTCCAATTTGTGCCATACCTGCGGGGGTTGAACACCCACCCCAGCCAGGTTCAGACTTGGAAGATGTCCCTGCTGCTGGCAGGGGGGTTGGAACTAGATGATCTTTGAGGTCCCTTCCAATCCTAACCAGTTTATGATTCTATGCTTTGGTCCGTGGCATCTCACCTGGTGTGCTCTTCTCCATCTCTGTTATTTGTATCCCCCTTGTCCAGTCAGTGTTTGATCAGATTCTCCTCTCTTTTAGGGTCCCATTTCTCCCATTACCTGGCCCCATTTCAGCTCCTGGCAAAGCAGCAAGTGATCTCACCACCTATAGAGCCAGGCAGCTGCCAAAAAAAAAAAAAAAAGAAGTAAAAGAGGGACTGGATAACTGGATATACATAATTTAAGGTGTTTCATAAGAGCTCTACCAGGGTTTTGATCAGCATCCAATGCAGAGCCTGAAACAAGGCAACCCCACAAGAGTGGGGAAAAACCAACGGCAGAGCATCATCCTGCACGAGCAGAGGAAGGCAGCAGGCAGCAGATGGACAAAACCCAGCAGAAATTATTTTATTGACTTGTTCACCTTCATTTCCAGGATTTGAAGTAAAACATTTTCCTTTCTTTCTGCATAAAAAAAGTTTGACAATTTTTTAATTTATTTTTTTTTTAAACCATACTTTTTAAGCAGAAGTTTTTTGGTGAAGCAGAATTGGTAGCAACAACACTTTTCTTCTTTTCCTTAAGCTTAAATTTGGTAAACTTTCCTGAAAGACTTCATCTTTTTAAAGTGATTTCAGCTCTGTCATACTATTAAAACACTAAAAAAAAAAAAATCAACAACAAAAAAACCCCAAACCTGCCATCACTTGGGCAGTTTTCCCTGCTCCATAACTTTATGCTGGAAGAGGGATAGTTTCATGGAAAAACTTTGTAAGAGCAATAATTGTCAACTGCTGCTTATTCATCAGCTTTTGCCTTTCCAAGACTAAGCGGTGGATTCATATTTGATGAGCCTATTTGGCCTTCAAACACTTCACAGGCACTTCTTTTTCTTCCTTTTTAATTTTTTTTTAAACATAAACAAGATCCTTCGGTCCGGCTGTCACAACAGGCAAACGCTGTTTACATCAGAGGGGGTTTTTTTTGGATCAACTTTGTTCAAATAAAGAGACGAGGCATCTAACTTCCAGCTCTGCAATCCTAGGGAAGAAGGCAAAAGTCAAGCCTCCTCTTGCGTCGTTGCCATTGTTGTTTAGACACTTCAGGGTCACTTTCTGGCCTTGCTTATATTTCTGTCGTCCTTTTGTCTAACTGGGATGCTGCAGATTTATGGAAGGTGGCTTGGCCGTGCAGCTGCCACCATGTTAAGAGAGTAAAGCCCAGCTCCTTTCCCACAGCAAGTTGCTCTCCATCCCAGTTACTCGTTTCTTTAAGGACTATTTGCGTGGATTTTTCCTTCTTTGAAACCAATATCTGAGTTTTAAACATGGGGGATTGAATCCCATGAGTAAGGAGGGGCTTTTCCTGCTGGCATGCTGTAAATATAATGTTTTTCTTGCTCTCTCTCTCTTTTTTTCCCCCAAGAGGAATTTGGGCAGAATAGGTTAACTGCTCCACAGACAGCTGAGTGCTTTTCTGCTCAACCCCTTCAAACAGCCGCAGTGTAATTAGAGGGCTCCTGACAGAGAATCACATTATTATACTGCGTCCAGTTCTGGAGCCCCCAACACGAGAGAGATCTGGAGCAGTTAGAACAAGTCCAGAGGAGGCCACCAGGATGATCTGAGGGCTGGAGCAGCTCTGCTGTGAGGACAGGCTGAGAGAGTTGGGGCTGTTCAGCCTGGAGAAGAGAAGGCGCCGGGGAGATCTTATAGCGGCCTCCCAGTACCCGAAGGGGCTACAAGAAAGCTGGGGAGGGACTTTTCATAAGGGCAGTTAATGACAAAACAAGGGGAAATGGGTTTAAGCTGAAAGAGGGGAGGTTTAGATGAGATATTAGGAAGAAGTTCTTCACTGTGAGGGTGGTCAGACACTGGAACAGGTTGCCCAAGGAAGCTGTAGATGCTCCTCCCTGGAAGTGTTGAAGGCCAGGCTGGATGAGGCTTTGAGCAACCTGGTCTAGTGGAAGGTGTCCCTGCTGCTGGCAGGGGGGTTGGGACTGGATGAGCTTTAAGGTCCCTTCCAACCCAAACCGTTCTATGATAATTTCGTTTAAGTAACCGGTATCATGACGGCTATTAAAAGAAAGTGATGTTTAGCTCTAACTAAACTTGCTCAAACGAGAGTATTAAATACATCCCAATGGTGGTTTTTTTTTCTCCCCATGCTGTAACTCATGATATTTTTCCTCTTTATCCTCAGGGATTTTTCTGTTTTGCTCTGGCCTTCTGCGGATTGATCCCAGCTGCCTGCTGGAGATACACGCACAGCACGGAGGTAAGCATGGCCTGCTAGGAGATACCACCAGCATCTCATCAGATGGAGATTATTTATTTATTTATTTATTTTCAATGATTTCTCCCATAAAAGGGACATCTGGTGGTAATTAATTCATCAGCTGCCACTCCCATGGGGTCATCCGAAGGGGGAATCCACAGAAACCCTCACGCAGGGCAAATGCTTTGTCCTGAAGGCAAAACAAAATGCAAGTCTCATTTTTAAATCGCTTTGGGATTTATCTGCAGGGGATGGTTTGGTTTGGTTTGTTTTAATTGAGATGCTTTGATTTGTTTTGTAAAGTCCTTTCTAGCCAGCTCTAATTCCTGCTAACATCAACTGGGAGCCTCTATTTAAAGGTGATGGCAGGTTGTGATGGTTCAGGCTGACTCTGGCCATGGCCAGGAGAAGCACCCAGAGAATGTGTTTATTAACCAGCAGCAGTGGAACAGTAAAACACCAGTGTGAAAAATGGTGGTTTGGGTCACTGTTCACGCTGGACCAGAGAGAGAAGATTGTATGAAGTGGAATTTGTCAGAAAATTTGGGGTTTGGATTGTTAACCCAGAGTTTGCTGGTGGTGTGGTGGATGGTGGTGGAGATGCAAAGTGCTGGGGAGATGGAGTCAAGGCATGCAGAGCTGCCAAGGGACAGCCCCACACATCGCAGTGGGTACCCTCACCCTGGGGCCAGGGTAGCAGGCTGCTGGGGAAAGCAGAAATTGAACTTAATATTTAGCAGCCTAAAAAAAATTTAAATAAATTTTTTAACCCTTTCCTAATCTGGTATAATTTGCTTTTTGTACGTTTATTCCTCTGCTCATTCAGAGGAATTTGTTGCTGTTTGGTCTTAATTTCCCTTCCTGCGTCCCTGAACTGAAAAAAGAGAATTAGGCAAAAAAAAAATGTTTTCTTTAATTTTATTTATTTATTTATTTATTTTTTAAGGCAGAACACATATTTTAGGCAAGTATCCAAATTATCTAAAACTAACTCAGATAAGCTGTTGGGACTTTGATAGATGTTGCATGCAGCGGGTTGGTCTCTGTCTCCATTTTGCTGAAACATCCATGAAAAAGAGTCTTTCCTTAACCTCTGTGTATATTCTCCCTGGTTTCAGGCAAAATTATATATTTTTTTTTTTTTTCATTTTCACACTGCTAATTTAATATGGAAATAATTTTGTTTTCACGACCAACACAGAAGGGAGACCTTGAGTGGAGTTTCCTCCTTCTTCTGCAGAAGCTTTTTAGGGGAGATTGAAAAAAAGCTGTGTTAATAAAGTAGAAATGGCACCAGAAAGTGTGTCTTATGAATTTGCATGATCCAAGCAGACTATTTAGTTACACTTTTTAATCCACAGATATCAAGTAGGGTGTAAAAAAGGCTGCAAGAAGAAGTTGTGTGTTGGGTTAATATAGGGATATGCCATTCCAAAAATACTTTGCTGAAAATATTTAAAGTAGAATGACTTTCTCTATCTCTTAATCACTACATCTGCTTTTACTTCAAATTATTTTCCTTTTTTGTTTTGTTTTGAGTGCCCTGCCCATAAATACACCCATGTGTCATGGTGAGCTTTAGTAGCTGGTTGGGTTTCTTTAAGCGAAGCAGTTTCCACTAAGCAAAATGAAGGGTTTTTGTAAAATGTTTAATTTCTGGATAAAGAAAACCAGCAGTTTTGACAACAGTCAGTGTTTCTGACAACAGAAAAATTAAAATACCATTTGAGATTGGTTTGGGTTTCTCTGCTTTCTAAAATGCAAAGAGAAACGGGGAATACAAAGGAGGAAAGTTTTTATTAGGAGTGTCGCTTCCAAAACATACGGAAATTGGGTTCCACTTGAAAAGTAACTTATCTCACCAGGGAGAGAAATGCAGCTGGGAGAGAGAAATGCAGCTCTGGCTCCTCTCCAGGACAGAAAGACGGGTGCTGCAGTGGCACAGAAAACCAAATGGAGCAGGGACAGACTCCTGAAGTCACATTATCACAGAATCCCAGACTGGTTTGGGTTGGAAGGGACCTTAAAGCTCATCCAGTCCCAACCCCCCTGCCAGCAGCAGGGACACCTTCCACTAGACCAGGTTGCTCAAAGCCTCATCCAGCCTGACCTTCAACACATTATAGAGCTGTTTGTCTGACTTCCTCAAAATAAAAAGCAAAATGAAAGCAGATGTTCCTCCCCCAGCCTCCTGCATGTCAGTGCTGTCAGAAATAGTTAATTGTGGTAATACAGGGGGAAAAAAAATCAGCTCATCCAAATGGATGGGTGTCTTGTGAGTCTGATGGGATGTACACAGGTACCACAAAAGAAAGAGAATTTGGGGATGTAAAACTGGGTATGGATGGATGTGCCCATTAAACATGTCTGAATCGGCGCCTTTGAGAGCACCGAGGGGCTGTGTACATCGTTAAAATATAAAAACTGCATTTTTCCCATGTAAAATATGTTGACTTCCCAGTGAAAAGCCAGATAGAAAATCCTCCTGTTCTGTTTGGAAATGCCAGCTGGGAGCTGGCGTTGGTAGATCCCGTCCTTTCCCTCCCCACGGGTGAGGTGCTGATTGCAGGCAGTGCTGAAAGTGGAGCCCTCCCCTCCCTCCACAAGCCAGGAGGTGGGGGTCCCTCCTGCCCCAAACCAGGACAGCTTCACTCCTTTTGATTTAAAAAAATAATAATAATAACAATAAATCTAAATTTCCTTCATAGAATCATGGAATCATGGAATGGTTTGGGTTGGAAGGGACCTTAAAGCTCATCCAGTTCCAACCCCCCTGCCGTCAGCAGGGACACCTTCCACTAGACCAGGTTGCTCAAAGCCTCACCAAAGAATAAAGCAGCCTTTCTTACAGAAAATAATCTAAAAAGGAAAAGCTCAATTTTCAGTTGAATTATTGTTTTGATGGTTGTTTTCAAGAGGCAGTAGATGGAAACGTCGTTTGAACATGATGAAAGCAAGATGCCCTTTGTGCCTCCTTTAGAGACCTGCTTACAGTACTTCTTACAGAGAAGCTACATGGGACAGGAGAAAAAGAAGAGTTATTTTTAAATATTTGATATTCTCAGATATGCGCACTGTAAACAAAATGTGAATCTTCTTGTTTCCCATTCTTTTCCATTTTTGTGACCTTCTGTAGCTCCTGAACTCATTCTTTTAGACAGATGCTATGTGTTTTAATTTCAAGTTACCCACGTCCCAGATAGACTCAGCATCACCTGTCATTATCTTAAAATAACATATACCAGACATGCAAAAATCATTAATCTGAGATTTATTGTGCTTTACCCTAAACAGCTGATCCCTCTGTTCAGCATCATAATTATTCCTGCTCTACTGACCCATCCATGTGGCCGATGAATGGGTTTTGTGAGGTCCAGACCTCCTCCACGCTGCCTTCTCAGGCTACTTTGCATCCATCTGTCTGCATTAAAGTCCTTTTAATGAGGAACTAATAAACTAATCATTCCCATTCCTCATTGATAGGTCCTGCAAAGAAAATGGTGAATAAAATGGGGAAGAACAAAGAAGTCAGAGTACCATCCCAGATTGTCTCCTTGTCTTGCCAGCATGTATAATGTAGCTTTTCTGTTTGGGTCTACCCCCAGTTTACAAAGAACCAGTTTTAGCCAACGGTGCCAGCAGAAAAGGTGCTGCTGTCACTTGTAGAGGTGTGGAAACTTCTCTGGGCAGGTCAGCTGCTCAGAGGAAAATCTGGAAATGGAAGTATTTGTAATCTGGAGGTTGTTGAAGGATCTTTTCTCCTGCTAGCTATAGTGCTGAGCCACTCACGTTTCAGTATTTTCTAGCTCGGCTTGTTCATGAGCCCCATACTCATGGCCCCTGCAGCACCCAACACTCCTCCTTGACCTCTGTCCTATCATCCTTTCAAGCCCACAGCTCCAGAAACACCCCAGCCCAGCCTCCAAGCCCCTGTGAAACTCTAGTGTGCTGGCCTGAATGACTTGAGACAGTTAATCCCTTTCCATGTCCACTCTAGAGCAGAGAAGGGTCTCCACAAAGGTGAGGAGCATGTTTGGTCGCCTTCCCTGTGGACCATCTGCCCAAAATGTGGTCTTGGTGTGAAATGTGGTCTTGGTAGGAAAGTGTCACAGACTTGTCTGAGGGTTGACACTGGTGATGCAGTCAAAGAGAATGAGAGGATGATGTACAAGAGAGGGCAGGGAGGATGACCTCTACAGGAGCACCTTTGATGCAAAAGCATGTGGTAACCATGGAAATGGTGAGGTTTTCGGCTGGTTTTCAGCCACATTAGGAAGTCCTGATTCCCGAAGCCAAAGAGCTGAGTCTTGTTTCCAAAGTTATTTTTATGGCAGCTCCTTTACCACAAACCGCTACCTCTTTAGGTGAGGTCTTTTAGTCATTCCCAGCTGGGACCTGGCATGTGGAGAAGGATGTAGGAGAGACTTATTCCACATCTGGCACAGCTGGTGAGGAAGACTGCTGCTTCCTCCTCCTCCTCCTCCCCGGTTTTGCTTTTCTCCTCACCCATTAACTGCTGTTTTAAAAACCTTCCTGCAGAGGCTGGAGGAAGGGGAGCCTTGCAGCTGTGGTGTGAAAGGCTGTTGGTACCCTTGCTAGCCAAAATAAAAATAGGTTTGGGGTTTTGTTCTGGGCTCTGCTGTGAAAGAGGCTGGAGGAGTTTCAATGTCGCATCATCTTCTGCTGTTCCCCTTCTCTGCAGCAGCTGAGAAGATCCTTCCAGCAGCCTTGTGACACCGGCCCCATAAGCTGGTCAGGGTGGCAGGGTGAATTGGCAAAAATCCAATTCCTGCAACGTGAAAGTTGTTTTGCAACAGAATGAGCTTTTAAATTACAGAGATTCATTTACAGGTACACGTTAGCTTAAAACCCATTAAATTATGATTTCCCAACTCAGGGGAAAATGGGAAACTAAGCACTGGTGCAAGTAGTTGCCCATACTTCTGTCAGAAATTGGGCCTGATTTGCCATGTCCTTTGGGTGAGGAGGTCACTTGGATT